AGGAGCCCAGAAATTAGCTTATGCAAATCGGCGGTTTATGTAGAGCAGGAATATTTTTAAAAATTCCTTCTCTCTAAAGTGCAAGAAGCATTTCATGTAACAATTGGGAAAACAACGTTTTTAAGGTAATTCGACCCTGCTGAATTCGAATCTGCCTGTTGTCAAAGCGAAATTTGAGCCAGAAGTCCAGAATCCAAGATGGCGGCCAAAAACAATTTTTTCGTATATTCCCATTGTCCGTTGACTTAAAATAGTGTTTTAAACGTATGCTTGGGGTTTATTTTGTTTGCGGAACAGCTTCTAAAACTTAGAATTTACTCATCTTAAGCAGAGCATATGTTTAAAAATGGCGCCCAAAATGGCCGCCAAAACTGAGTAGGTTCTTAGTTTATAGTTCAGTAATTGGGAATTTTTGCTTGGAAAAAACTCCGGAAGTTTTGCAACTTTGCAGGTTTATAGGTTTTGGGGTCCCTAACTAAAATCCATAAAATGCATATTTCCAGACTTGCCGCCGGCGCCGCCATCTTGCCAAGATGGCGCCCAAAATCGGTATTTTGCGAATATCTCGAAAACTATGCATTTTTCACGAAAATTTGAGGAGAGCAAAATTAAAGAGAATAAAATTCTATAAAAAAGGTTTTATGAAAATTTTCGCTAAAGTCAACCGTTTAGGCACAAAATCCCTGAAAATTTTACAATTTTGACGTTGTCCGATGCCTCACTTCCACCTTGTGCGATTTTCCCATTGATCTTCGGCCAAATTTTTCTCGCTCATCGATCTTCTATATCATTCATTATTGTTCCTTCTATTCCCATCTGTCGTCTAATGCCTTAATTTCTGATTTTGTCCTTCCGTGAAATTCTCATTGCTCTTCTAATCGCGTCCATTTCTGGTGTCTCTAATTTCCTTTTGTTCCTTTTAGTGAGTCGCCATGTCTCACATTCATAGAGTAATATCACAGAATATCTAGCTACGCAACAGAAAAATACTCGAAATGAAAGAGCTAAAATTGCACAAATAAAATACTAGATGGCGCGACAATATCATAATCAGAATATAATTGGAAATTTTCAACTTTCGGTTTTGGATCGATGTAGATCGACGGCACGTCGACGGCCTTGAAGCTCGGCTAAAAATGCACAGTTGCCAGATTCAAACAGACTTTAACTGGCATCCCATTCTTTTTCTGGTGTATAATAATTCCTTTCTATTCTTCGTTTCTTGTCAGATACACTTATATTAATTATTCGTTTGGCTTTTAAAATAGTTTTAATTTTAAGTATATTATTAGAAAACATATGCTCTCAAAATACATTTTTAATATATCTACACTACTTTATTATGTTAACTAAGAAAATAACTTTAACTACCTTTAAAATTAATAATATACAGGGCGATTGATAGTGATATTTATTAATGCTGAAACGTTAGTAATGAAATATACGTTTAATAATAATGGAAACGATTTATTAAAATGCAGTACAAAAAATGTTAATTGACTAAAAAATACTATAATAACAATTTTTTTCTGTTTGCCACGTTATTTATATAGACCTAGGTAGATTTTAAAAAGTGACACAGGTACAATTAATAATATATTACTTAAGCATAAAAGTTGCTGTCACCGACATCGTACAATAAATTAAAATTCATAAAATAAATTAAAATTATTAATTAAACAAATCTTTATAAAGAAACGCAAGTATATCAAATTTGGGCCCAATCGAACGCCAGGAAATGGTATCGTAATATGGTACTACATTATGGTACCCCTTGATATGCTTCATGCTTCCATAATATTGCAATGTCATCAAAAATACGCAAGTATAATCAAATATAAGCCCAATCGAACGTCAGGAAGTGGTCGTAATATGGTACTATATTAAGGTACCACTTTATATATGCATCATAGTAGATGCATTATAGTACCATCATATTACAATGTCACCGAAGATACTTACTATACCAAGTTAAGCCCAATCGAACGCCAGCAAATGGTATCGTATATGGTACTATTATGGTACCTCTTGATAAGCTTCATGGTACCATAATATTGCAATGTCATCAAAAATATGCAAGTATATATCAAATATGAGCCCAAATGAACGTCAGAAAGTGGTATCATAATATGGTACTATAGAAGGTACCAATTTATTTGCTCCATGGTGCCATCATATTACGATGTTACCGAAATTACGTAGTATACAAAGTTTAAGCTCAATCAAACGCCAGGAAATGGTATCGTAATATGGTACTACATTATGGTACCCCTTGATATGCTTCATGGTACCATAATATTGTAATGTCATCAAAAATACGCAAGTATAATCAAATATGAGCCCAATCGAACGTCAGGGAGTGGTATCGTAATATGGTACTATATTAAGGTACCACTTTATATGCATCATAGTACCATCATATTACAATGTCATCGAAGATACTTACTATACCAAGTATAAGTCCAATCGCACGCCAGGAAATGGTATCGTATATGGTACCTCTATCGTATATGGTACCTCTATGTACTATTATGGTACCTCTTGATACGCTTCATGGTACCATAATATTACAATATCTCTGAAGATACGTAATATACCAAGTTTAAGCCCAATCGAACGCCATGTATCGTAATAAGGTACAATATTACGGTATCACTTGATATGCTTCATGGTACCATATATTGCAATGTCATGAAAAATACGCAAGTATATATCAAATACCGTACGATACCGAAAAAAACGGCGTCCAGTTGGCTGGGAAAAGACGATCGATGACATTTCCCATATAAATTTACACATAAAATGACAGCGATTTATATTTCATAGCCATCGCTAACGCCGTTTTTTCCCGATCATACGGTATGAACACAATCGAACGTCAGGAAGTGGTGTCGTAATAGTAGAACAATACTTATTATATTGTCGCCGAATTACAATCAAAATTCAGGATTCAGTTAGAATCAAACGTCAGGAAGTGATTTTAATTCAGCTCGTAAGATTTAACTCCAACTAACATGGCGAGTTAAATACTTAAACGTTTGAAAAAGAGCTCTAATCTATTTTAATATGTTTAAATGATGTAGCAAATTTGAAGCTAGGCTTTATCAGGAAATATTACAATATAAATTACACAATGGCAACACTGCATAAAATTCTTTTAAATTTCGTTTGTAGAAAACTGTTTTCTTTTAAATTTATCGGCCTCTGTTATGTAGTAGTGAAACTACCGCATCAAAATATCTGATTTGGAGACAGGATTTTAAAGCCTGTCTCCTTTTGAGACCTACGATTTTATACATGTAACGAGGCTTCTGTTGCGTAGCTAGATATTCTGTGGTAATATGCTTTTAATTAGTGTCCCGTATATATTATATTTCCTGTTCTTTGTAATTTCAGTGCTCCATAGAATGCCATTTATGCATCTAATAACTCTTCGTACTTGTATTACTCGGTTGTTTATTTCTCTATCGTCCGTTCCATCTCCTATGAATATCGAACCTAGGTACCTACCTGTAATCTTCACATGCACTAATTTACATATTAATGTCCAAAATAAGAGAGTGTCTGTAATTGTTCCAATTGAAAGGTATTTCGTTTTTTTCTGTATTTACTGTGAGACCCCATTTCAGCATATTCTTCAATTATTTTTCGCAATATATATTCCACGTTGTCTTTGCCTGGTCGTCTGCAAATTGCAAGATGACTAGTTGAGTTGACCGTTTTTATTTGTGATTTTCCTCCATGGTAAAGATTTTGTACAGCTTTCATTAAGGCTGCGTTAATTCTGGATTCGTGCAATACTTCCCATAATTTTATTATTGGCACTGAATTATAGGCTTTTTGTAGGTCGATGAATGTTATATGAACTTCCTGGTACATTGCAGATTTCTTCTCGATGATCTGTTTCAATGCAAAAATATCTGTACAAGATCTTCCTCTGAAACCATTCTGCTCTTATTTTCGTAGGTGGAGTATTCCTCTTCAATTAGGTTCCTAAGTATTCCATAGAGGCGACTTAAAGTGCTGGTGACCGAAATTCCCCGGTAGTTATTGGGATCCTTCCTTGATATTATTATTATAGAGGAGATATATGCATTTTCCCATTGTTCATGTACTGGACTACTGGATGGTCCTTTAACCATTGATTTATTATGTTTGTCAACATTCTAAACAGTTTTTCGCTTCCAGATTTAATTTCAGAGTTCCGCATATACTCCCTCTGGGTCATAATATGCTCTTCCATTCTTTAAGGACATTAAACACTAAAGCCTATAAACCTGACTATAGAAATTTTGGTAAAAATGTTTAAATTTGTTGTATAATTATGGTGCAAACGATTGTTTTATTTAGATTAAAGCTGCAAAAATTTGTTTAAACCGAATATTATTAACGCTATGTTGGTCACATTATGCCGTGTTCAGCAACGTTGTCCTTTAATACTTGACAATAATTGTTGAATATTTATTATATAGAGGCAAATTCAGTTACATTTTCATGTTTTTTCTAATTTTCTCTAAAACGGTATGGATATTTGGAAAAGTATGAACGGGATTAAGGTGCCCGGTGGCGATGGCGTAGAGATACAGCTCTCGTCTACCAATTCAAAGGTTCTGGGTTCGAATCCTACAGCCGGTATTTGTTTAAGTACCTAGGTCGACTCAGGCTTAAATGAGTACTTGGGATTCACAATCCTGAGGTAATAATAGGCGGCTGAAGCGTAGTGGTAGTCACATTACCTTCTCTGTAACTTGTATAACCGAACGGCTCTATATACGGCTCTAATATTATTATTATAAACAGGGTTAACCATTTTAGAAGAGAAGCAACATTTTTATGAGTGTATTGTTCTCAAAATGTGAAATGACAATCCGGGGACATACTGTATTTGCTATATTTTCTGATCTATCGAAGAAGCAGACTATGATAGATAGATATAGGTTGATTCGCCACAATTAGATAGTAATTCAAAATTTAAAAATAGGAATAACCTACCTACTTACCACAAGATAGTTGATGAGATATGCTAATTCTAATCCAACTAGTCTGGTATTGGCTGTGGCTTGAGTGTAAAGGGGCAGACTTCCACCAGCCCAGTCAACTACAATGACATTTAGGTCTTCAGCTTTGAGAAGTTCGTCTCGCATATCTTTTACCTGGTGAAAAAAAAACAACAATAATAATATTATTTTTGATATTATATATATTTCCGCATACAACTGTTAGTTACTCCTTAGATATAATAACTTTCTTTTCTTTTTATGTACCTAATAGAAAAAATTATATTTGATTTTTAAGTGTTTGTTGTTTTGGTAATAATCTTTCTATAAATCAACATTGTATATTATTATTCTACAATAGATTTTAAAAATCTCTTAAAATGCATAATGTACAAAAACTACTAATATTGATTTCAAAACATAGACATTTACACACAGGAATTCGGTATGTAGCATTATCCATTTCAAATTTTCATTGCTAATTAACGTGTAACAACCATTCAATGTAGCAACAAATTATGTTTAATACTTAACATGGTTTGATTTTGATTTTTAATTGCTAACAATTCATAATTAGTATTTAGATAACCTGATTATTTTTTCTTCTGTTCTTTAATTAGATATAATAAAAATGTAATATAAAAAAACTCGAAACAGTTCATTACTAATTTTAATTAGTGACTGGACATTATTAATAAAAAGTACTCTCTGCCTACCATTTCTATATATACAGGGTGAGTTTCCTACGATGTTCTCTATGGGTATCTCGAAAACTACTGGAGATAGAGAGTCGGTTAAATGGGGAAAGAATTGCAGTTTTGTGGGGTCATAAATATGCGCCTTTCAGATTTTTGAAAAAGTTCATGGCTTATATTTAAAAAAAAACAAATTTCGGCTATTTTAAAAATTGTCCCTAATTCCATTATAAGCTATTTTAGACAAAAAGTTTTCAGATAAAAGTTGTAGATAATCATATCCTTAATGAGATTGTGTCCTCCGTTTTTTCTAAAGCCTGCCATTTTTGACATATGGCACAAACATAGGTTTTTTTTAAATGGAAACCATAGCTGGCCATGACTTCATAAATAGCGCCATTTTTTAAACTTTTCAGCGATATAAGATATAATATGTTTTCTTCGAAAAATTACTGAGTTATAGCCGATTCTTATCATTTTTAAACAATTTCACTTAGTTAGCCATGGAAACAAGTTTAATCGTCTTTGCTCTCATAAATGTGAAGCTGTCACATCCAAACTTTGTATATTACAATAAACAAAAATTGTAAATATTAATTTTTCAAATGAAGAAAAGCGTGTAGGGTTACTGGTTCAACTTTTCTTGACCATACATTTTCGAGGATACGTTGATCGGTGAATGTTACGTTTTTTAGAAAACGGTTTTTAAGACATGTTAGAAAAGTTAAATGTAGTTATAGCCAATTTTTATCTTTCTTGACTAATTTCACTTAGACTGCATAGTATTCTTATTCTGATATGATTTATAATTTATAAAAAGTCAGAATATATTACTAAACGGTTCTTTACAATTTATATTACACAAACTAAAATTATATAAAATAATATAATATGTTAAACAAGTGCGTATACTCAGTGCACTTATGCCCATTAGTCAAATTTGCTTTTTTAATATATAAGTTTTGTTTTATGCTAATGATGTTTACCATAAAAGGTCGGAACTGACTATAGCAAATTTACTCACACAAATTGTATAAGTACATAGAACCATGTAGGTACCAGCAAATACGTTTGTTAGTGCAAATAATTAGTTTCATTAGATGCATGCGTGTAAATTGTACTTCCTGTTATGTTATAGTAAATATTCTGGGGAAGATGTACGAGGCTGGGCTGAAAATTAATCGGCCTAGTTTTCGGCAAAACTCAATTTATTTCTTAACGTAGTCCCCGTTAAGCTCTATACACTTTGTCCAACGATTCTCCAATTTTTCGATGATTTTTCGATGCCCTTCGAATAATACGATTTTTCGAAGTCCTTAAAATAGGCCTCTGTCGCAGCGATGACCTCCCCATTTGACTCAGATCTCTTACCACCGAGCCATTTTTTCAAGTCTGGAAACAGATAATAATCGCTGGGCGCTAAATCTGGGTAGTATGACGGATGAGGAAAGAATTCGTAACGCAATTCATACAGTTTTGCCATTGCGACTGCACATTTATGCACCGGTGCGTTGTCCTGGTGGAAGAGCACTTTCTTCTTTGCTAAATGCGGTCGTTTTTGCTTCAAATTGGTGTCGAATCGGTCCAACAGCTTTGAATAATATTTGCCAGTGATCGTTTTGCCCTTTTCTAGGTAATCGATATGAATAATACCGTGCGATCCCAAAAAACTGTTGCCGTGACCTTGTTGGCAGACAGACGGCTTCTTTGGCTTTGACTCGCCCTGAGAAACCCACTGTTTTGACTGTTCCTTCGTCTCTGGCGTATTGTGATGGATCCAAATTTCATCCACGGTTACAAAATGGAGCAAAAAGTCCTTCTTATTGTGGTTAAACATTGCCAAACACTCCTTTGAAGTTGTCACACGGTTTCGCTTGTTGTCGGCATTGAGCAAATGCGGCACCCATCTGTCTGCGATCTTCCTCATTCCAAAATATTCGTGCAATATATTCTCCACTCGTTCACGTGACATGCAAACAGCCCCAGCAATCTCGCACACTCTTATCCGTCGATCGTCAATTACCATACCATGGATTTTATCGACTACTTCTGGTGGGGTGACCTCTCTTGGACGGCCTGGACGCTCATCATCAAAGATGATCGTACGACCGCGTTTAAATTCGGCAGTCCCATATTTTACTGTTGATAACGAAGCTGCAGAGTCCCCATCTTCTTCAGAGATGGGGACTTCAGAGAGTCCCCATCTTCTGAGAGCCTTCTCTGTGTTACTCTATGGATGTGAGAGCTGGACACTGGATTCACAGACCGAGAAGAGAATAGAAGCCTTCGAAATGTATATATACAGACGGATGCTGCGAATCTCATGGGTACAAAGGATCACCAACAATGAAGTACTCCAGCGCATGCAGAAACAAAAAGAGATACTGAACACCATCAAGGAAAGAAAAATGCAATACCTGGGTCATGTGATGAGAGCTGGTAGATACGAAATACTGCGCCTCATAATAGAGGGCAAAGTGCAAGGGAAAAGATCAGTAGGAAGACGCTAGAACTCATGGCTAAAAGATTTGAGGAGATGGTTTGAACGCTCGTCTGCGGAAATCTTCCGGGCTGCAGTTTCCAGAGCCACAATTGCCATTTGGATCGCCAACCTTCGGCAGGAGAGGGCGTGATAAGAAGAAGAAGAGTCCCCATACACATTATTCAGTTTGATTTTGATCTCATCGTTCGTTTTCTTTTTTAAAAACAAGAATCTTATCATTGCGTGATATACGATTTTATTAATTTTTGTAAAAATGCAAAATCTGTTCGCCACTGTCAAGTACAAACTAAGTGACGCAGCTTGCTGAAAATTTGACAGAAGTCACTTGAAAGATAGTTTTTAGAAAAAACAATTGCATTTGTTCCTAGCGCCGCCAACTCTTGCCGAGGCCGATTATTTCTCAGCCCAGCCTCGTAATACATTACCTAAATAAAAGCGGCACACACACAATTCGCACAGCTAGAACATTATGTTATTATAGTTCTATAATTTTTGAAGTAACACCAAATGAAATAAAAAGTTCTAGCTTTTTATTTCATTTGTTGAAATTGCTGTATCTATAAAGATAAAGGAAGTACCACTCTAGCAGTACTCCCTATCCTAAAGTAAAGTAACCTTTTGTGTGTAAGGGTACCAAATGTAAGGGTACAAAATGTGTGTAAGAGTACCAAATTTCAAGAAAAACGGTTTGCCAATGTGCTTAAAAATAAACAAAATACATTATTTTTATTTAACCTTTCGAGGGCTGTAACTTCTTCGGAAAGCATTTTAGGGCCTATGTTGATAAGAATTTTCTGTTTAAATTTTACCTGTAGAATCAGCCACCGAAGTTGGATACACTATTTTTTGTTACCCTGTATACTTCATCCAATATAACATTTTCTAATTTGGTGAAAAACTATCCGTCAAAGCCAATGACTAAAGAATATAAGGATATGTAACGCCCATATACGGGCTGCAGCAGAATTTGTGACCTTATAGACGCCATTCTTTTGATGGCAACGAATGAGTCTGGTCACCAGCGACAATTTTAGCGAATTTTAATAGTTTGTGTGTATATGAACTTTGTATAAACTTTATTACAATGGTGATTAGTTGTTCAGCTTTCAAGTGTAAAAGCAGCAGCGATAATAAAGAGCCAGGAGTTACGTTTTCATAGGTAAATAAACAGCCCGCTCCACCTTTTTAGCGTTTTCTTAGTTTTCTTATTGAATTCGATAATTATTTTTCTGATATTATATGTACTTGATGTGCGCTATACGTCGATACTAGTTTTGTACCTTTTCTTAACATTTTAATACTTTTTTTCGTAATTAATTAGTATGATACCACCGTATACACCATAGGCATAGTCAAAACATTTATCAAAAAATATAAATCTCTTCAAACAGCTAGGTTAAGAAAAATATGTGCCACGGCACTGTTTGGTGACATCGTCACAATTTGCTCTCGGGTGTTATTTGTCCTTGGATTTTTTTAGTCATTAGTCAAAGCAAACAATACCACTCAACAAAGTCAGTGTTGCCATACAGAATGCCAAATCTAAACGAATTTCGGACTTCCATTGTCTTTATTTATTTTTTATTAACACAACGTTTCGGTCAGGAGGATCACTGACCGTTATCAAGCGAAGAAGCCGTGGAACTCATGCTTAAAAGCATTATATCTGGTTATAAATATTATGTAAGTGATACTTTATACAGGGTGGTTCGAAATGTATTCCGGAAACTTCGGCAGCAAATTTTGCAGATAAAAATAAGTTCTTATAAATGTATGTCCTAAAATGCTTAGTTTGGAGTTTTCATTTTTATTTCGATTTTTTCCAATTAATTTATGAAGTAACGTCAATATTTGGATGAAAATTGGTGCCTGGCAGTTTTTTGATATGAGAAATTTTATTTTGATGTCAATATGACTCCTACTTGTAGAGGGCGCCATCTACATATTTTTTAACTGGT